AACTCTTCTTTAGACCTTTGAGGGGGTAGTTTTATGACATTCGTTAAAAATGATATCTTACATTAAAAAATTAACTTATTTGCAAAAATCAATAGAATGGAATTACAGAAAGATCGTCCATTCCAGAACTTTACCAACTTGTTTGCAAAAATCAATGAGGGTTTGATTGGAACACCATTGAAATTTGAGGGTTATTTTATGTAATTTAAATCGAATTTATACTTTTACACATTTCAATTAACTTGAATCATCCAAAAAGTGGATACTTCGCCTACTGTTTTTTATTTCTTATTTTATGGGTCAAACAAACTATTTGAAAATTGAAAATTTACAACAAATATGTTTGAATTTTAAGAAAAATAAAAAAGATTAACTACACTGATTATAAACATGCAAAAAAAGGTTATGTCAACGCCATGAATTCATAAACAACATTCAGGTAATGTTTTAATAACATAAAATTTGACATCCAAAGTAAAAATAAAAGGACCAGAGTGGTATTTAGTGTTGTGGTATTTAGTGCTGGAACTTTCAAAATTAAAGTTGTCACCAAAAAGGTAATCTGTGCATCAAAACACACACATTCAAATACAAAAACAATATCAACATTGTTGATCATTAGCAATCATACTGATCATCAATTTCTTGTTGTTGGGTACACTTTTAGTAACAACCCATCACACTTCAAAGAACATCAAAACACAAATAACGAAAGTAAAAAAAGTCAATAAAAGACTAAAATACCCCTGAGACCATTTTCTGTCAAACACAACCATGAAAATCACACTTCAAAGAACATCAAAACACAAATAACGAATAATGATTTCACAACAGATATTTTTAGCAAACATAACTGCATTGGTATTAATATATTTTAAGGTTATAAATTTTGAGTTATGAAGATGAACTCACCAGATTTCTTATGTCGACAGTATGCAGAAATCATAATATTGAATATGAGAAAGAAGAATTATAATTGATAATGGGAATGGATGTTGAAGACGACAAAGCACAATATAAACGGAGTTAGAATATTATTTTGAAATTCCTGATTTCTTGGGATTCATTTAAATCTTGAAAAGAGTTTAAAAAATATAAGATTTGTAGTCAATGAAATTGAACTTAAATTGTTATTGTTTCCAAAAAAACATGGATTTTTAATTTGAATTTTGAAAGTTATATGATCCGAAAATGAGAAAGCTGAAAATAAATCGGGATTTTTCCTACATTTATGTAATTTTTTTAAGTTTTATTTATTTTATAAAATAGGATTAAATGCATTAGATGACACGTGGCAGGTTTGCAGTGTAGAAAGGGACATATGGCAAATTATAGGCTTTGTTTATTAGATGAGGTAGATTTCAAAACATGATGATTTTATTATATGAGTGATGTGGAATGCATTATGATTGAAATAATTATCAACAATGATGTAAAAAACCACATAAAAAACAAAATGGAAAAAAATTGAAAACGAAATATCAAACTGTTTTGAAAAAAATAACAGATTAGTTTTTGGTATTTAGATAATCTAGTTTTTTTTTATTCACTTTGGTCTATTTTTTTTATCAAAACAGTAATAATAATAATAATAATAATAATAATAATAATAATAATAATAATAATATAATAATAATAATAATAATAATAATAATAATAATAATAATAATTTGAGAAGGAAAAACTAATAAAGCATTTTGAAAAAACAACGGTTTGATTTTTGGTTTTTTGGACTAATCGTTAGCCCCCTCCTAGTGATGCCTTGGGTCATAATCGTGGCCAAGGTTGCCTATAGCCAAGCCCAACTTTGCTAACATTGTGTTCAGTTTAAATCATAGAAGTTTGAAAGAATTTTTTTTATTGTGATGTGTATACTTAACTTGTGTTTTGGTGTTAATTGTTACTTGTGACAAACAATAATTGTTATTTTGGACTTTGAAACTTATTTTCCGCATGTCAAAACTTTGAATATTTTGAAACATTCAGAATTAGGATTTTATAAACCATTTTAAAATCAATCATACAAAGAGTAGAAGATGTTTCAAATATGCATTCCGTATCGTCTCGTGTTATATTATCACTAGTTGTAAGACCCATGTATTACATGAGTTTATTAAAAAAAAATAAACAAACATTAAGATCTAACAATTTAGAAAATTTAAATTTATAAGAAAAAAATAAAATATTTAATTATTAAAATTGAAGTGCTTATTTATCTTATAAATTTAAACTAATAATTTAAATAAATAAACAACTAAATAACTTGATTCAATTTAGAAATTTAGAAATTATAAGGAAATTGCATTAATGAATTAGATACACATTTATTATGATATTTAAGTATTATATGGAATTTAATAAAATAGAAAAAACCACAAAATGAAACATGGATATAATTTAATCTAAATTTATTACAAAATGACATGTGATATAGTGATAAGAAGATGACAAATGGTAAAATTATTTTTATTTATTAGGAAGGATTGTCTAGTCCCTTCAACCGTCGGTAAAAATTCATATCACGTAAATGGTCCTGCAAAAGCATCAACACATGAAATCAACTTTTGAGGAATACTTATCCAAAATCTCACTTCTCCTAAAAAAAACTTTAAAAATGTCTTATCTAAACTATAAATATAATATCTCCATCAAGTATTATTCACCTCTACATTTACTTCCTCAAAGTATTCCGAAATAAAATCTCAAACATTAAGATGTTAAGAAGAGCTAAAGAAACATTATGTAACGTCCCATTTTCACAACAAATTTTTTTCATTTATATTAAGGTAAAATTCTCAATTTATTAATCCATTATTTAAGAAAACTATTTATTCAAATTTACATTTATTGATATCAGAGTATTATAAGAAACACAGAATCTTCAAATTTGTTGATCAGTGTGTACAGTCCCGCCTTTGCGTTCCCGCAATCACTGATGATATCTGAAACAATAAACAGCTGGGTAAGCATAAAGCTTAGTGAGTTTCCCCCAAAATACCCCATACGATAACCATGTAAGCATGCATAAATGCCGCTCTTCGGCCTTCGGCCTGACTGGATCGCCTCGCAGGCCTTCAGTCTATCCGGGCCAGAATACCAGGGTTTATTGGCCTACCGCCTCAACCCAACCGCTCATCCCGAGTCTCCGTGCCTACGGCTTACAGTCGGCCTGCACCGAGTATCTTGGCCTACAGCACAAAGCAAGACCGCCTCAACCCAAACCAAACACAACATGTCGACATATAAACAATCAGGATCAAGTAGGCACATAATATAGGCAAACAGCAACCATACAGCTCACTACCGCCTACTAGCCCTCTCACAGCATACAGTCCTGCTACCAGCTAACCTCCATAGAATACATAACCATAAGTAACCAGAGGTGAGATAGCCACCCGAACTGGTGATCCTACTCTAAAGCCACAACCAAACAAGGAAAATGCAAGAGAGCCTAGACCAAGAGTTCTCAGGTTATCCTACATAACCACAGACAGTCCCTAAGGGCACTCCATAGATGATAACCAGCAAGCACATATAACATACAGTTCTACAGTTTACTACAACATAGCAACGTACTCAATACCAAAACGTAAATCAAACATATCACTACATCATAGCAGCATACTCAATACCTGAACACAGATCTAACAGATCACTACATCATAGCAGCATATTCAATATCAACGATCCAAGGAATGCATGGTCGTATATACTCAGAGGTGAGATAGTCATGTGGACAAGTGATCTTACTCTAGAACCACAACCAAACAAGGAACATATAAGAGAGCTTAGATTAAGAGTCATCAATCTATCCTACATGACTACATACAGTCCCTAAGGTATCCTTCTACTAACAGGTAACCAAAACTAGTAGGTCGGCATTGGTGCCTTCGACCCACGGGTACAATGAGGCAAAACTCGCCTCAATATACGCGTAGGTAACCACAGTAGCAATGAAGAACTCTACCAGCTTCAACTCACTTTCAATCACCTACAGGGAGATACTTGAGTCAATACCCGATCCCAGGTCATAGTCACTTGCAACAGTGACTACCTTACACGAAATGACGATTAGGGTTTCATATAAAATGACGATTAGATTTAAGTGAGAACACTTAACCC